CATACATACATACATACATACATACATACATACATACATACATACATACATACATACATACATGTATGTATGTATGAATGTAGGGAGGCATGCATCCATGCATCCATGCATCCATCCATACATACATACATACATACATACATACACACACATTAATCCCCAGGGGGAAATTTGAGGCATCCAGTAACGTGTTGATCAACGTGATATAATGCTCAGAAAAAAAGAATGAAATAAAATGGATAATTCATTAATAAAAGTAAACATTAAGACTAAAAATTGAAGTATGGACAACTATATCTGTATAATTCACTAATGGGATACATGTCCAACTACGAGGTTAAAGATCAATAAAGTTAAACTACATTACAACTGATAGGTGTAAGGGTAGCAAACCAAAAATAGAAAAAAATAATAATAAAAAAAAACCAGAAGCAAATTTAAAGAAATTGAAAATTTAGGGAGGTCTCAGATGGCAAGGATTCAAAACGGATCACGTCATGAAATGTACTAAAACAAAAATAAAGATATCTTGTTTAAAGTCTGTCGTCTCACCGAAGGATAATTAGCACCTACAGTATCCTCAAACCTCTGACCTATATTAAGATGTCATTCTGCACAGAGATCAGGTATCGTCAAGTTCAGTCCCTTGAAGTGCACCGGCTGTTTGTGTTGTGAAGGCTGGCTGAATATTTATAACTGCTGACTGTCTGCAGGATGAAAAGTTTCAAACCGTCACGTGCCACATCCAGATCAACACGGTGAGAAAAACTAACAGAGGTGTTGAGTTCAGGCGTCACATGTCGCTTTTGAGCTCTTCAGTTCATGAATGAAATATTTTAATCCTTTTTCTGTGATGTTTTTTTTACAAGTATTGGACAAATGAATTTCTGTCCTGGAATGCCTCCGAGTTCTGTGGGATCGACATGCTGACTCTTCCCAGGTCGATGCTTTGGATCCCATATATAGCCATTGCAGAGGAGTATGTGTCCAACGCTGGTTAAAATTAAAAAGAAGTGCTGCAATCATCTTCTTCTGATGAAGCACGTTCCTGTGAGCAAAAGAAAATGTTTCTCGTTTTGCCTCTTTTCCTCCCGGCAGTACATCTGACACTGGGAGTATTCAGGAGGATCCACTTGTCAGCTTGTACCCGAGCGGTTTGGTTTTTGCAAACTCGCGGTATCATCTGACCTACACCTGCCAGCTCAACCTTTTCACATTCCCATTTGATCAGCAACGTTGCAACATCACGTTTTCATCTCCGAGCTCCGGAGGTAAATTCAGTTTGCTTTTTGGGTTCAGAGAGTGAGGCTAAATGATGCTGTAGGGATGTTTCACCCTCAACCAATGTGACAGCTGAGCTATCATAATGTGAGCTTTAAGCCTGCTCTGTGACAATAAACCTGGTGAGTCCTACATAGAAATGCATTTAGGAGATATTTGTGACAATTGTAGGAAATAAACTTCCTACAAAACTGACAAGCTGTCTTACAAAGAGCTTGCAACCATTGTCAATGCTAAACTAAGTTTTTTAGCTTTTAATTACAAATTTATGTGCATAAACTTGTGTTTATCTCTTAAGTCAAACACTTTACAACTGTTGTATTTGGTTGCATAAAAACACTATTATAGGCTAATATTAACAAACTGCATGGGATTATCAAGTTGCAACTGAAATGTGGATAAACTGGACGTGATGTTTCGCAGATACACGTTCTGATTTACATTTTTGGTCAAAAGCTAGCATCCATTAATTTGCTGCTTTAAGTATTTCATTTGAACCGTTCTATTTCCAGGCAGGAATAACAATAAAACATGCAAGTTCCAAAAAAAATAAAAAATAAAAACTGGATGAACAAGGTAAAATGTTCTATGGATTTTCTTTCTAATCCTCTCAGGGTCAGAACGACATACGCAGACTCCAATATGAACTCATAATTATCCAAATAAATATTTTAACAAGTGGTGCTGAAGGTTCGAGGATATCCTAAAACCTCTTGTTAGTGATCATGATTGACTGCAGCTGGTTTCCCTTTGCCAGCCTTCACTGAACTGACCAATACGCAGAATGGTGGAGAAGTCCAAGCAGCCCAGAGAAGCTCTAACAAGATATTTGCTCAGGAATAATCCATGAAGCAAGGCTCAAGCCTGCCATGAACAGAGCACTACTGGAACAACACAGTCCGCTCACAGTGAAGCCAGTGTTACATCACCCTGCACTGAGGGGGTGCTGACCAAAAACACACCTCCAACCTTCATGGACAAGTTAACACCTAGAAAAATAAAATGTTGGTCTGATGAGACAAAGAATGAGATTCAAACGGAACATTGCAGCAAATGTCAAGCATGGTGACAGTAGCACCATGGTGTGGTGCTAGATCAAATAATGGAGGACTTCCTGTTCAGCTAAGTCGTTAAAAAGTGTTCCGACTTTACACTGATCCCAACCACGGGCTAACATCGAGATCTGGAATGGTCTTCTCAAAGTCCTGCCCACAACTGATTAAAAGTGAGGTTTAAACCAGTCATTTTAGTGAACTCTACCAATTCTACCAAGTAGTGGAGTCAAATATCAGCCAATGAGCTGCATAAGCTTGTTTTTCTTCTACTTATTTCAGCTGCTCCTTCTTCAGGGGTCGCCACAACAAACTAACTCGCACGAAGACTTGACAATTGTTTTTACGCCGGATGCCCTTCCTGATGCAACCGCAGACCACCGAGCTACCACAGCCCTCTGTGTGGAGCAGGGAGCTGCCGTCTAGGGTGCTCGGGGGAGCAGATGGTGGGGTTTAAAGGCCTTGCTCAAGGGCCCAGAGTGGGGCAAATGAGGGTGGAGGCAGGTGTGGGTGCTATTAGGATGTTAGCTATTAGCTTGTTGATGGATATAAAAAATGTGTGGTGCAACTAGCTAACCAAACAAGGGTGAAGATAAATATGAGCCTGTATGTATAATTTTGACCTTGCTTAGTTTAGAGAAAATCCACAATAAAGTTAAACTTGTTTTCCAAATCGTTTAAAAAAAAAAAAACTATTAAAGAATTTGCATAAGCAACGCACCCAATAAAACAACATCCATGTAAACTTCTGTAAGCGTACCACAGCAGGTTGGAATTAACTCAACTTTCACACGTTATGTTTCCATTATCTGCACAGAGAAATACATAAAACTAGAACCAGCCAAAAGCGACCTAAACGTCACCGAGCTGTCGAACCAGATCACGACTCAGGGAGAATGGAGGCTCCAAGGGATGGACGTCTTTGAATTTGCTTCAGCTGAAAACGTTTCAGTCAAAAGCAAACTTGTGTACAGGGTAAGAAAATATTTGTGCAGAAGGTTCAGCAACAGATGCGTTAAGTGTTCAGTTATTGGTGCTTTTTGTTTGGACGAACAGGTTACCCTCCAGAGGAAGCCCTTTTTATACATAATTAATCTAATAGTGCCGCTGCTGTTTTTACTGGTGCTGGATTTGGCCTCGTTCTTCATCGGTGAGGCCAGTGGTGAAAAGCTGGGATTCAAAGTGACCATCCTTCTGTCCATCTTTGTTTTACTTCTGATACTTAAAGACATTCTGCCGTCCACTGAAGACAACCTGCCGATGATGGGTAGGCAGCAGTCAGGACCAAGATGGTTTTTAACAGTTCCTTCAGCATCAAACTGACTCATAACATCTCTGCATCTTTTGTCCAGCCATCTATTGTGTTTCAGTTTTCACCATGGTCTGGATAAGTGTCTTAGAGGCCATGATGGTCAAGTTCCTAATCAACCTCAGCAGTTCTCGTGATGAGGACGAGCCAACCTCAGTAGAAGTCAAAGGGCAGATTCAACAAGGCGCTGATGGTCCCAAAGGTATGTTTTCAGACTCAGGACTTTTCCACATTTTGTCGCAACAAAATTCAAAGTATTTTACTGGGAATTTGTGTGACTAACACAAAGTAGCATCTGATTGTAAAGTGGAGGGAAAATGTTTCATGGTTTTACAAAAAAAAAAGGCTGAAAAGTGTGACGAGTTTGTATTCAGCCTTCATAAGCCACCTTTTAGTAAATAGAGTCTTCCTGTGTGTAACTTAATCTCAATATAAACCTAACTGTTCTGTGAAGCTCTCAGAGGTCTGTTACAGAACATCAGTGATCAAACAGCATCATGAAGACAAAGGAATACACCTGGCATGACAGGGATAAAGTTGTTGAGAAGTTTAAAGTAAGTTTTGGTTATAAAACAACCTCCCAAGCTTTGTACATCTCACAGAGCTCTGTTTAATCCAGCATCTGAAACCTACCAAGACACAGACACACATAAAGTGGCAGCGTTAATCTGAGAAGCTCTTGGTAACTCTGGAGGAGCTGCAGAGAGCCACAGCTCAGGTTAGACAATCCGTCAACAGGACAACCATTAGTCATCATTCACAGGGTGGCAAGAAGGTGCTCTGTTCACATCAGACCATATTTGGCCTAAATGCTAAACCAAATACCCTGAACGCACCATCCCTCACTTGAAACATGGTAGTGGCAGCGTTATGCTGTGGGGATCATCAGGGACAGGGAGGCTGCTCAGAGTTTATGGGAAGATGTATGGAGCTAAATACAGGACAATCCTGGGATTTTTTAAAAAACAGTTAGAGGCTGTGAAAGAACCAACCCGTAACTTCCAGCCAATCTACAATGGAATGGGTCAGATCAAAAATATCTGCATGTGTTAGAACGGACCAGTCAAAGTTCAGACCTAAATCCAACTGAGAACCTGGAGCAAGACTTAAAAACTGCTGCTCACAGATGCTCTCCATCCAGTCGGACTGAGCTGCAGCTGTTTGGAAAAGAATGAACAAAATGTTCAGTAGATGTCAAAGACGGTAGAATCAAGAGACAAACCCTAAAAGTGTCAGGGAGGTTGAACATAAATGCCTGCCACACTTTTTAGATTTTGATTTCTAAAAAAAAAAGAAATAGACATGACCATTTTCTTTCCACAGTTATGCACTTCTTGTGTCGGTCTATCACATAAAATCCCAGTAAAATACTTTAAAGTTTGTGATTGTAATATGATAACATGAATAAAAGTTTAAGGTGTATGAATACCTCTTGAAGATGTAGTTTGAAACATATAGAAATCAAAAGGTTAAAAACACTGATCTTTCTCCTTTGACTTAGTTTCCATTCTTAATAATAATTATGTTCCGTGTTTTGGGGTATTGCGTCTGATCGTTTGTCGTCGTGTCCCCCTAGAGTCTGTTGGAGTTCACGAGAAAGTTCACCCAGAGCAACTTGAGAAGAGTCACCGTCCTCTGGCTGAGCTCGGTGACCACGACCTGCTGAAACTAATCCAGGACCAAGTGAAGGCTGCTCGACTGGAATCTAAGAGACAGGAAAAAGGCGTGAAAAAGGCTGAATTCTGCAGAAAGCTGGCTACAGTCATTGATGTCATCTTCTTTGTGTTGTACCTCGTTACTGTGGTGCTTTCTCAGGTGTGCATGTTTATCTTTTGGAAGCGTTCATATTTTTAGATCCATCTGATGTGTGCATTCTGCCACAGCATGTTATGAATTTTTTTTTTTTTTACATTAGACAATGCATGCAATGTAGATTAACCTTTTAAATTCTCTCTGCCAGTTTCTCTCCACCTTATTTTAAATCCTACATTTTTGCTCTTTAATGATCTCTTGCTGTTGAAAAATAAAGTTGTATGAAAATATTGCTCATGTTTTACGTTGAAATTAACAGTTATATATATATATATATATATATATATATATATATATATATATAT